ATCTAAAAGTCTGCAAACATCATTGATGTATTGTTGTCTGTTGTTAATTAGCTAAGAACAACGGCCCTTGAGCGGGAAGCACTCAACTATTGGATAAAATTTGCATGGGTATCCAAGGATCTGAAGCAATTAGTGTTGTTAAATGGTTCGATTAGGATTAATTTTTTCATAAAGGGCCTGATTAAAATTTTAGACAAGATAATATTATGTAAGCAGGATGATTTTGCTCATTTTGGCTAAATCACGATATTTTGGCTAAAATATAAATCAGCTGTTTTTAAAAAAATCGGCCCAAATTAGATCGTATATAACCCACACTAGAAGCAATTTCTTCAAGTAAAAAAATATTGCCACTCTCATGATGGTGGTTACTTTTATCGAAAATAATTTTTTAATTTTTACAAAAATAATTTTTTTTTTCGCGTTTTAATTTTAATTTTACCTCATAAAAACCTAGAAGAAAAAAAATCTCGTCACATTATTATTTATCAAATTATTTTTTAAATATAAATTCATTGCCAAATTTAAGGACAAGGGATCCAGATAGATTAAAAGGAATTCCGATACTTTTCTCGGTTATGCGGTTACATGCATATATTCATTATTTTTTAAATCTATTTTCATTCTTAATCCTCCCCTTCCTTTCAATTTCAAACAATGCCAGAAATGTTAACCAAGATAAATTGTATAAATGTTTAAGTTTAATAAATCATTGCGAATCATCACATAATAGAAGAGACGATAAATGGAAGGACCATTTTAAGAAAATAAATACACGAAAGTTCTTAATTTCAAAGAGATAAATAAAAAATTATGAAGTCGAGGTATTCAAAAATATTTAGGCAGATTTGGAGTGACACAAAGATATATTTTATTTTCATTAAATATTTGTCTACTAAATCTGCGAAATCAGGACTCGGGCCTATTTTTGAAAAATTTTAAAATTCGGGCCGTGAGCTTAAATTCTTAAATATGTAATTATAAAAAACTATAAAAATTTGTTTTATGCAGGCTCAGACTCATTTTCCTTATTCCGAATCTTGGCATCTCGATCATTTTCATTCTTCCACCAAATTGACTACATTTACGTTCATTTTCTCCTTTCACATTACAATATTATGATGAAGTGCGTTGGCGCTAGTAGGTATTTTATAGTGTTGTTAAACGGCTAGTTTTGAGCGGATTTTTAAAAACGGCAACTCAATATTTCATCCAGAAAAATAGTACACAAGCCTCAAGATTTCTAGACATATATTATCGAAATCTCGAAGTTAAGGCAATATTTTTCTCCTAGAATATTTAGTTAGCCGTTTTAAAAAATCAGCTCAAAATGACCCTTTTAAAACAACACTAGTATTTCAATCGTATTAAATTTAGGCTGCATTCAAAGTGGAGATGAATTTTTACATCCGTTCCGCCAAAAGTCAATCTCATTAAAAAATGATATATATTGATTTTCATTTTTAGCTCAAAAAATTTGCCGGATGAAAAAGTCAAAATGTTTTGACCTCAAAATTTGCCAGATCCGTTTTAAGACGGAAGGTATGGGAACGGACGCACTATGAACATATATATCATTTTTAATGAGATTGACTTTGACGGAAACGGATGTAAAAAATGGATCTGTCTCCACTTTGAATGCAGCCTTAGCACCAATCGGTAGTTATTATTAAAAAAATGATAATTAAAGTTTTCAATGTTTAAAAAAATTAAATTATTTAATTTTGAAAATTTTTTTTTACCTTGAAAGTGATGTCAGATAAATGAGGATTGTTGAACAGGCAACTACCTATATCCCTATTTTCTTTAGCTATTATCATAATAATTATTACATTTAGATATTAAAATATTTAAAGATAATGTCAACAAAACAATAACGATTATATATAATGTTAAAATGACTTGCACTTTTTATATCAAGGAAAAAGACGTTTATACAATAAATAAGTTTGTCTAAAATTCTTATGGGTATTATTTTTGTTACTTTAATTATTATTCTTTTCAAAATATTATGCTATATTTCAAAATTAACATTTGAGCATTTTGTTACATAAAATTAAATTTTTTCCTTCTCATTATTTACTTTTTTCTTGATAAGAATAAGAACACAACGAAAAAACAAAATAAATTAATCATATTTTATTTAATATATAGTTTTATTTATATAATAGATATAATTTTTTAAAAAAAACATGAAATATCGCAAATAGACCAAAATAATCTGTGATGAAATAAATAATTAAAATGTATATGGTAGGTCTAAGTATAGAACTACTAGAAATTGAATATCCATGAATAAATATGTGTTAAAATTTTTTTATTAGATTCTTAATACACCGATATAAAATATAATCCAGTTAGTGGCTAACTTTTGCGATCTTAAGTGATTATTAGTAAAAAGAAAGAAAATTTTAACCCAAAATTAGCAAAAAGTAAGAAAATTTTAAGATGTTTTTCCAGATTTCATTGACTACAAATTTATTTTAACAATCGGGCAAAAAGTGTTGCGGACAAATATTGTTTAAAATCATAAATTACTTGACATAAAATATTTTAAAATTGATTGGTCTGAGTTATATACAAAAAAAGGAGATGTTATCGTTTATCGAATGTAAGCTGTGATTGACGTAGGGTTGTTAAACAAGCTCGAATCGGGTCGATTTTTTATAAAATGACCCCACTAAGATTTTAGTCAAATGTAATATGTAAGGCTGGAAACTTTGCTAATAGATGGTAGAAGAAAGTAGTGTTGTTAAACGGCTCGTTTTGATAAAACGACTAACTCAATATTTTAGCCAGAAATATTGTCTGAACCTCCAGATTTCGATAATATATGTCTAAATCTTTGTTCCTTCTATAAGCAAAATCTTCAGGCTTGCGTAATATTTTTCTGGATGAAATATTGAGTTAGCCGTTTTTAAAAATCGGCTCAAAATGAGCCATTTAACAACACTAGTAGAAAGGTTTGGACTTCTGATTGCAAAATCTAGATCTGATATTTGTTTTAATATTTTATTTGTAGTCAGCTACTTTAAATATAAATTCCTAATTTTATCTAGAACAAGAATTAATGTCCTTGACATTATCGGAGAACTTCTTTCCTTGGATTTTGATTTATCTGGAAGTTTCAGGTTACACCCAATAAAAATTTCTAACTCCCATAGAAATGTTTTATACGAGACGGCCTCGTCTGTTTTATTTAAAGTATAGTGAGGTTCAATACTAGTAAGTAGTGGTGATAAATTGAATCATATTTAGCAGGTTATGAGCCTATCCTAAAAGAAAACTACCCTTTTACCCACGATGTTAAACTTAAAAGAGATTTAGCGAATTTGTTTTAATGTTAGAATTGAGTCAATTTTAATAAAACCACATATAAAAAATAATCTAATTAACAAAAATTTTTCATGTGTTTAAATAGGAATTTGAAATTTTCAAATATGTAGGTTGTTTGTTGATTAGGATCAATGAATCTACCTTTGAGATATCAGCCTTTTCTGTGTTCATTTGCAAATGAACCATTTTTGCTATTAATTGACTCATATCTAGAAAAATATAATCATTAATAACATGATGAATAATAATATTTCATTAAGTAAATGAATATGTAAAGATGTCACTTGATTCAGAAATCACATTTTTATTCAAAAATATGTTAATAAAAAAAGGAATCCAACATTAGTAAAATCAAAAATAGACCAATTTATAATTTGGCTAGAAATAGATAGTTTTTAAAGAAGGGGGTAAAATGACTTGATTAAATTCTAATTATTGTTATTTATATCATTTCAGAAATTCTTTCTAATCTATTCCTTATTCAAAAATAAAATTAACCTACGAATCTTATTGATCAATTTTGCTGGGGAATAAAAATAATCTTTTTCAAAGATTTAAAATTGAATGTATATGAAACTATTGTTAAGCTTTGGCAATATGATAATGAAAATATTTACAATGAAATTAAAATTATTTTAAAATTATGTGCTACTTTCATCTTACAAATTTGAGATAATCGAGGGAGTTTAGGAATAAATATATTAAATTTAATGTTCAGAAATATTGAATTCTCGATTAATATATTAGAATAGGAAAAAGGAATAATTGCGGGGTTTGTACCGGACCAAGCTTTGGCCAGGGCCTGTCTGTTGAGAAAAATATCTATTAATTTAATAAAAATGTCATTCTTTTAGGTATCAAATTTTCATTTTTTTAAATATATATTATGGAGATAAAGACATAACAAATATTTGTGCCTATTTAATATTGATCACAGAGTAGCCCTAATAATTTCCATTTCTTCTGATTTCACAATCTTATTTTATATATATTCGTTCTTATTTGGTGTTGGATATTTTAAACAAAAATTCATTATCACACAAAAATAAAATTTCAATGCCGCAAATGTCAAAAAAAAAAATAAATATAAAAGTTTATTAGAGTGCCAGCTAAAAAAAATGCTAGTTAATAATTAATTTTTTTTTTAAATTTTATAAAGTCTAGAATTTATTTATTCTCTGATAAATTTCTTTCTAACTTATTTTTTTTACAGAGTAGCCTATCCTGTCTTAAAAAAGTATATCTGGTATGGAGAGCATTCTAAGTAGTGCTGTTTGGAGCCGATTTTTAAAACGGCTAACTCAATATTTCATCCAGAAAAATATTACGCAAGCCTGAAGATTTTGCTCATAGAAGGAACAAAGGTCTAGACATTATATTAACGAAATCTCGAGGTTTAGGCAATATTTTTCTGGCCAATATATTGAGTAAGCCGTTTTAAAAAATCGGCTTAAAATGAGCCGTGTAACAACACTACTTCTAAGATACAAGGTAATCAAAATAAAGATCAATCTTTTATCTTCAATAAAATTATCAAAACTAATATTTTTATTAATAAATTCTTGTTTTATTTAAAAAAAATTCCAATAAAAATAATTATCAAATTTATATTATATTCCATAAAAGCGTTTATTTATTTATAATAAATAACTCCGATGCGAGAGATTGTCGACGCTTTTACTGTAATTTTACTTTCAGACCATTGAAGGGAAACTTGTGATATATCATTTACAGCAATATCGCACGTATAAGATGGGTAAAACGCAATATCAGGCACCCAAATTTGAGTTTTGCTCATATGAGACACTTTATATGCTAGGATGCAATTATCATTTTCTTTAATTTTAATCATGGTGAATCCGTTGTCTTTACATGGTAGCATGAATCCAACGATAAACAATTGTGGACACAGTTCATGAGCTTGTAGGGTAGTATTAGAACCCGGTGAAGTTGTTATGCTATAAAAAAAATTAGGGGTTTGGCGCGATATATTATCATATCAAATCGCACGCTCCTAATCTTTTCAATACTAAATCGGTTATCTGAGATTCACACAATATATTCCGCTTCCTAATAATATTGATGATGTCTGTCACGGTAAAATTTTCCAAGTAGGACATTGGCTCGAATTTATTCTTCTTAATTACGCTCATAATATTCTCATTGGTGGCTAAAATTCCTTCTTTTTCGCATTCTTTTTTCCCCCATTTTAGAAGAAATTCGAAAATCAACGCCTTGGGCTCCAAATTATTCGCGTTTATGTAACTTATGAAATCGTTAATTAATTCAAACGGGGCATTCATAAACATTTCGGAAGCGAGAGCCGACCTGGTAATGAATTGCATGCCCTAAAGTTATTTTAAATAAAAAGATGTAAATCAGTATCAAATAAAAAAAGTTATAACCTCGAGACAGTTTTTTTTATTAATTTCTGAGTGTAACGGAGTTGACAAAAGCATGACTAGAGGGAAATTATTTTTAATATCCTTCCCATATGGAGAATTAATTTTGTCCACGCATTTTTTGACCAATTCTTTCATCAAAAATTTCTTAGCCCCGTATAAGAGTTCCACGAAAATGGCGGCTTCGACATTTTCGAGCGAAACATTATCCAGGTATATGTAACTTTAACAAGATTAATTTAAATTTTCAAAATTAATAGCTAAATAATGCAAACTTTAAGATTTTGGAAAAGGTTTCAGCGCTAATATCTAAGATATTGAAGCATTTTTCTTCGTAAGGAATGCTCCCATAAAATAGCGTGTAAAAGAATTCGTTTTTGAGAGCAAGTATAAGTTTATGGCCGTAGAATGTTTTATCATCTACCTTTAAATCGTATTTTTAATAATAATATTAACAAATTTAAAATAAACATATTATTTTTTCTATTTATAAACATTGAAATGTTTTCACCCTAAACCCAATGGTGGGAGTTAAAATTATTCTTATACAATATAGTGATTCATAACATTTTTAAAATATGATTTAGGCCACCCACCATACAATAGGTGTTGAACTTGCAAGAAAAATATTACACAGATTTGTGGTGGCAAAGTTATAATATATATGTTTTATTAAATATTTTCTACTCAAAAATAAATAGACCTAGAATCAGGTCTGCTTAAACAGCTAAAAATATGGGTGATTACCCGACTATTTATCAGCTTTATTCGCAATGTCACTCTAAAAGCAAGAGCCAAAAAATTATGATATATCAGACCTGCCATATTTATGGTGTTTCTGATTAAGATTTAAATCATATTATTAAATTTAAATTTTTTTGTATGTTATATTATATATGTCGTAATTTTTAAAGGGATCATGACTATCCAGGATCTTCACGGGATTTAAAGGGATAACTAAAAAATTAGGGTTGATAATTAAGGAATGATAATACGGGATTATCACGTTTTAATTGTGATAAAGAGGAATCTTATTTTAAAAGCGTTTTCCACGAGTTTCGTTGCGTTTTTAATTTTCAATTTTGTTTTTTTTTGGCCTTATGATATAAGATATGTCTAGTATAGGGTATCAATCGATAGCTAATCAAAAGATTTATTCAACTGGAGGCCAATCTCTGCCCCAGTGATAATACCGTATAGTTCTTTATCATTTAAAAAATTGAAATTTTAAAGGAATCCCTTTAAATCCCGTATAGTCATGATCCCTTTAAAAATTACGACATATATATGCCGAAATAAGTTAAATTAAATATTAATGTTTTATTTTATGATAATGAATAAACAATAAATTCATTTTGAAAAATTTTTTTTTACCTTGAAAGTGATATCAGATAAATGAGGATTATTGAATACACAACTACCTATATCCTTAGTTTCTTTGGCTATTATACTAGTATTCATTTCGATTTTAAACTATTTAATATGTTAAAATTTACAATTAAATAAGTTTATCTAAAATTCTTATTTGGGTATTATTTTTGTTACTTATTTTTAATTTATTATTCTTTTCAAAATAATACGTTTATATTTCAAAATTAATGTTTTGAACTTTTCGTCCAATCGAATTTAAATTTTTCCTTCTCGTTATTTACTTTTTTTCCTCGATAAGAACACCATGTAAAGAAAAATAAATAAAATTAATTAATCATATTTATTTATATATAGTTTTTAGAAAAAATATAATAATTTATTAAATAAAAAATCGTAAATTATCACAAACACACCAATATATGTGTGATGAAATAAATAATTAAAATGTATATGGTAGGTCTAAGTTAAGTTCAACTACCAGTAAAAATGAAAATCTTTGAATAAATAGGGGTTATTATCCAGTTAGTGACTAACTTTTGAAACTTGAGAGAATCACTAAAAGAAATAATTTTAAAGTTAGCAAAAAGTATGAAAATTTGAGCTTTTATTAAAAAATGAATTTCATGCAAATTTTTTCTAGCAATAGGACAAAAATGTTAAGGACAAATATTGTTCTATAAAAATCGTGAATTACTTTTATACTTACGTATGACGATGTTGATCGTATTTTTGCATGCCTACAATATTATAAACTTGCCCGGTCTCTATATACAAACATAATTTTTGTGAATGTCATCTGTGGTTGATGTTGGGTTGTTAAAAAGCTCGAATCGTGTAGATTTTTTAAAAACTATCAGACTAAGATTTTAGTCAAAATAGCTAAAGATTTCGCGCTAATAGATGGCACTAATTTCCAAATCTCGAAGCTTATTTGTTGCAATATCAAATTTGTAAGTCAGCTGAGTTTTGTAATTGTTCTATATCCATTTTTCAAATTTTTTTTAAGAGAAAGCGTTCTATTAACAAAGGTTACTTGGGATTTTCAATAGGAACACTATAAAAAAAAGTGTATTATTTATTTATAGAAGAATACGCTATTGAAGATATGATTTATCCAAAAAAATGACTTTTGAAGAAAAAAAATGGTGGATATAGAATATTATAATACGCAGACGATAATCGGGAATTAATACATCCATTCAAAGATCATATAATATTTTATATTCGAATATTTTAAATTGCCATTTATTAGTTATAAAAAATTGAAAATTAATATAATATATTAATAAAAATCCGGGCCGGGCCTAATCTGAAAATATGAAACCCGGGCCGGGCCGAAAATTTTTGTTTTATCCGGGAGTGCAAATGGTATCTCTACAAGGACTCTGATTCATACTAACGCAATCCAATCCTAACATCAAATAAAAATTTTAAGAAATATTAATATTTTCCAATTTTTCTAATTTTTATTTAATATAAATTAAAAAAAAACATGTGTCAAAACGTATATATATTTTAAAAAAAGTCATTTATTTATAAAAAATAATTATAATCTAAGAGAATTTTCAAAGCTTTTACTACAATGTTGAGACCATTGAATGACAACTTGTGATATAATCATTTATAGCAATATCATTACGAATAAAATGGATAAACCCCGATATCGGGCAGCCAAATTTGAGTTTCTACTAGAATGAATCACTCCACATCATTTTCCGTCAATTTAATCTCGGTGAATCCGTTAGTTTTATATAACCCAATATAAAAATATTTCCCCAATTTTTCTCTTTTTAGATAATGGTGGCTAAAAATGATGCGTATTTTGGGAAAACTTTGTTATCCTTATCCCACTTCTGTTATTAAAAGAATGCCTGTTTTTAATGGATTTTCTTGAGACATTTAACACTAGTGTTGGCTGTCTAAATTATTTTTTTATATTTTTTTCCCAGGTTTCTTTGAGGATGCCCAATGGTGGTCAACCCTATTGGGAAAATGGGCTACTTAGTATATCAATAGATTATTTCAGAATTTTTATGGAAAAACAGGTCTCCTTTTAAAAATAGGGAGCGGGAATCAGCTACTTTTATGGTTGGAGTGGAGGAGCTCCCCTCCACCGCTCTTTTAAATTTTTTAAATATTAATAAATCTATTTATTTCTTATTTAAAATTAAATAAAAATGAAATTTTTTTAAATTCAAATTTATGCAGTATTAAATGTTGAACCGAGTTTTATATTGGGTTTTTGATCTAATCAGTTAAAATATTAAAGATCAAGTTTTTCCATTGAATCTTGGAAAACCTTGTAAGTTATAATAATGTTCATTTTATAGCTAACCAATAAAAAATAGTTTTAAGATTCAGACATCCTAGAAGAAGAAGAATTTCAATCTCCATCTTACAAAAAATTCTAATGATCCTAATAAGATGAATATTAGGGCGAAGTTTATTGTGTGTAAATAAAACTATCTTATTTTAAAAAGAGAGCATATATAGTAATCAATTGATTTCTAAATTTATAGTGTGTTATTTAGCAAATTTAATTATTGATAATTTTTCTAAATTTATATTATCAATATTATTATTTTATTTTTATAAATAATATTTTAAAATTTATTCGTATTAAACAATGTTTTACCTGCTAAAATAAATAAAAACGTAAGTCAAAAATATTTAAAACTTAATTTAATAAATAATAATTAGCAAGCTGGCTCTCCTATAATTAAATTTTTAAATATATTTACTAACCTACTCCCCTTCTAATATTTTATTTTTAAACTTTTTATTTTAAATATATTAATTTATATTTTTATATTTTTTATGTTTTTTTAAATATTATATTTTATATTTTATTTTTTATAAAAATAAATAAAAAAATTATTTATTTAATCTGACATGATTTTCAAATTATATGAGAAAAATTATCCAATACCTATCTATGCCCCTTTTCTCTTCCATGACCACGAGTCTATTTATAATTGTACAAATTATAGATTGCTACTTTTCCATAATATATCAACCCAACAAAAAAATTTAAAAAAAACACCCCAATTGACTGTACATTAATTAAGTTTTTAATTTTATATATTTCTAGATGAGATACGTTCAAGTATGATTTATAAAAGTTAAATTAGAATGCCAGCTATTTTTTGTTTCAGACCTTTGAATCCAAACCCAAATCCGTATCTTAGACTTGGGTTCTCAATAAACACTTTTCTGAACCTGAAATAAATTTACGAGTTTTGACGGGCCCAGATCCAGAATTTTCCTTTTTTCTTAGTTATTTTTATGGGAAAGGTTATATAAATATAATATACTTTATTAGTTTTTGGAAGGGATAATTTATTATTTAATGAATAGTAAAATGACGAATTTAAAATTTTTCAAACAAAAAGTAACAATCTTAATAGAAATTAATCAATTTAAAAAAAACTAATTAAATTTAACTTTAGGATGTAAATTTGTCACAAAAAATTAATTTTTTTTAGTCACCAGAAGAAATAATTTATAGTTCATTTTATTTTTTTTTCGTGAAAAATTTATAATATTAATTTTGTTAAGAATGTCAATGATGTTAGTAAAATTAATGAAAAGATATCCTCACTAATTTCCTTATTAGAGTTTCTGTAGCTTGGTCCTTCTGCTCAACATCGCAGCAATCGTATTCGCAATCACAGCGTCAACAGTTCAAACCGAAAATTCGGAGTCAGCTCTTACGAATATGGGTGATAACTTCAGATATAACAGAATCCACTTTGTCCACACAAAAGAGTACGAAAATACTAAAATCAACCCAAGTAACGATATCAGGTTCGCTCCTGTAAAACTTCCATGACAAGTTAAAAGTTACAGAGGAAAAATACCATATGTCCCGCCTGATCCTTATCCAGCCAATCAAGGGCCAGAATATGCATTTTGATATAAACAGATATATGAATAAGGAACATTAATTTTTTTTTATAATTTATTGTTTTGGAATTCGTTTTTCGGTTTATATTTAATTATATTCATTTAAAAAAAATTGCAAGTTTTAGCTAATTAAAAAAAAAAAATTGTATTTTTCTCTTTAACTTTCACTTTTTCTGGTGGTAAGCTGCTTCAATATCTCTCTCCACTTTATGTTATTCATACTATCTCTTTTATCTAATTTATACTTCTTCATATTGCCTCTAACTTTATGGCCCCATTGAAGTTTTCGCCTTCCTTCTTACGTTTACCCATCACTTCCAAATTCTAAACCTTATTTCCTATGTAATAAACACATAAAAATTTAAATTATATATTTTTAAGTACAATCACACATAAGTAACAAGTACCCGTATTTTATACCATTGTGTATTTATGATATTAAACTTGATGTTGTGTCAAAAAAAATTGACAAGTATGCGACTTTGATATTAACCAGAAAAAACTGAAAACAATGTTAAATCTGAGGTCTTAAAAGAATATAAGATTAAAATAAAATTTTGAAATACCGATGTTGCACTGCTCATATCATTGGCAGATTCATGATGCAAATATAATATATTAAAATAAAATGGCAAGATTAATATTATCGGTTTCGTTGGGAGGCTCAAGCTTAAGCCCATTATATTAATTTATTAAGTCATTGATAGTTGTTTTTAGACATGAGCTCCAATTAGTGTTGTTAAAAGGCTCGATTTTAGCCTATTTTTAAAAATGGTTAACATAATATTTTAGCCAGAAAATTATTGTATAAGCCTCGAGATTTCGTTAATAGATGTTCAGTGCCACCTGTGAGCAAAATCTTAAGACAAAATATTGAATTAGCCGTTTGGCTCAAAATGAGCCATTTAATAACACTAGCACCAATAATAAATTTTATATAAATATACTTGGTAGAAATAATATCGATGAATGCTACATGGTTTCACCTATCAAAGTGTTTTTGGGAGTTTCAAAATATCCTCATAATTAACCCACTAGTTATAAAACATATCATCAGCCTTGTAACATTATCAAATAGAAGTTATAAGCGGAGTTATAATAAGCTTCAAAAGATATAGTTCAATAAAATTAAAAAAAATTTTGTTATAAAAAAATATTCTCTATTCCTTTTTATTTGAGACTAATACTACACCGAAAAAGAAACTGCATAAAAACATGCCAAACAAGGAAATCTTATACATCAAGCGTTACCACATTTTTAGATCTAGAAGAACTTATTTTGATTATCAGAATAACTCCAACTAGAGGTTTCATAATTTGCAAGACTCGATTTCCAACAAGACAAACAAATTGTTCTAGTATTAAATTGTGTATTACTATAAAATAATTGTTATTCCACTTTTGGATTCATTTTTTAAATCAATCAATTAATTTGTGATTCATCAAATGACTCCAACCATAGAAATTCGTCTGAGGATTAATTGATAATGAAAAGTTAAATATTTAGCACAATTTTATTTAGAGGATATAAATATATCTCAAGGCAAATTAATTTCATTAATTTAAATCTTGAAATGAAAGATTTATATCCCCCAAAATGCCTAGAGGAAGTAATGAATACTTAAAAATACATTCTATAAATTTTGTCACCAATACCAAATAATACAAGTATAAATGAGAGGATCTTATTGACCCCTGGCATAGAAGATTTCCATGAACGATATTTTGGTTAACTTTTTAAATTTTAAATTTCTTGCCATTTACCTATCTTTATAAGTTTATCTAGCTATTATAATAGCTCTTAAATATCTTTTATTTTTCAATATTTTTTTATTTGTGTTCGAAATTATCATTTTTTAAAAAAATATGATTGGCTATAATAAATTTTTTTATGAATAATTCTAATAAATTTTTAATGTTCCAAAAAAAAACTCTTTTAATATAAAAAAATTATCCTACCCATAGAAAATTCCTGCGTACACGCCTGGTTCTATAATAAGATTCAAAAATATATATCTTATCGATTTTGACAATTTTAATAAAGAAACTGAGATTTTTTATAAACTATCCTCGGATAAAAGTCTAACCTCCTAGCTTTTAAACTTTCAGAGGTAAGAGATAAAAGCATAAAATGACCAGTTTTATTAGTCGGTCGTCAATCACGGATTGATAATAATCATACCCAACCAATCCTCTATTTTAAGTATGTTTTAAAGTATGATTATATGAATAAAATAAAATACGTTTCTTCATGGAAACTGGTATAATATAATTAATATTTGGTAAATCATAAAAGTATCTATTGAGTATGACCTTGATTGCGGCTATAATACGTAAAAATATGGTACGCTTCTTCACCGAATCGGTTATCAGTCAAATCATTAAATTTTTAAAATATCTTATGGGATAATGGTTTACAACACTTATTAATAGATACATAAAAACAAAAATGAACATTTTTCAATTAATATTACTAGCAAATTTGATCTATCGAATATTTAATGAGTGGTCGGTTTTGTGCTCGACATTCGGTCAATCATAATATTTTCAAAATAATTTTTAGGTATTTACCACGTATATGATGTACATGTATAAACCAAAAATAAAGAATTTTCCAAGGATAACGCCAGCAATGCTGTATTTCGGTTACAAATCGGTTATCGGTCAAATCACGATATTTTTAAAATATTTTTTAATGTTTTACACGTTTTTATAGATAAATTAAACAAAAATGAACATTTTCCAATTAATATTACTACCAAATTCGGTCAATCAAATATTTAGTGAGTGGTCGGTTTTGAGCTCGACATTCGGTCAAATCATAATATTTTCAAAATATTTTTTAGGATAATGCTTTACACCTAAATGTACATGTATAAACCAAAAATGAACAGATTTTGATCAATAATGCCAGCAATATTTGCCTTACAAATTTTTTACTATTTTTCGATTCTATGCCTACTCATTAAATAAATGTCAAAGAAACCTATATATTTTTTTAAAAAAATTATGTTTTTCACATGTATTTACACCCAAAAATTAAAAAAAAGCGCTAATCAATAATCATTCTGGCAACCTATACATATATTTAGGCATTTAACGCCATCGTATGGATATATATTTGTTAAATTTTACAATTGAATAAAATTTGAGCTGTAATAAGCTATTAAATATTTTTTTTTCCCAATAATATTAATAAAAATAGAATTTTTAAATTATTTGATATTTAATAAAAAATTGATTTATGTTTTTTATTGTCTAATTTAATTTTTTTTAAATTATTGTTGTAAGAACCCCTTACTCTCAACCCTTCCTATAAAATTGCAATTTATAAAATCAACTACAGTGAAGAGGTGGATATTTTTCACTAGATGTTAAAACAAAAAAAATTTTTATTATCATACTTAAACATTAATCTACTATGTTAAAAAAATATTAAAACTTTTTTAAAAAATGCAGCACTTAAAGTTTATAATTAAAAAAACTTTTTTAACATAAAAATAACATATTTTTTCACATATCATTTACATAATTTAATATTTTTGTATATTTAATTTAATATTAATTAATTTTTCAATCTTTACAATTGTATTTGCCTGAATATTAGTAGTAAAATATTTCCTGTTGTAATCAAATTCAAAAGCATATCATTTATAAATATGTATAAATTACTTCATAAATTAGTCCATCCCCTGATATTGTAATAATTCCATGCCATTCATTTATATTCAAATTTTGAACTAACTCCCTGGCATGGTTACTTTTTTCTTAGGATTATAGATAAAATACAATAATTTATTTAAGATAATACCTGTTATTACTGTTGAATGTAATATATCACTTTTTAATAATTCAGGGAGTAGATAATTTTTATAAATTTTAAGACCTCTCTTTCGTCCACCATGTGGATTTATTAAGATTAAATATTTTTTAACTACCATCTATTACCTATAACTATAGATCTAGCCATAGTTTAATTATGGGAGCTAATGTTTTAATAAAATATAGGTTTTGAAAATTTAGATGATACGTGATTTAGGTCATAATATAGATTATGGGAATTTATGTGATAGTTTAGGTCGCATAAGCCTTCTATAGCTGAAGGTTAAAAAGACCAATCATATGATGGAAAAAATTAGATATAAATTTGAAAAGCTAATCAGAATGTATTGAAGGCTTGGCAAAATAGGATGATTGACATTCTGTCAATGATTACATTCAAATCTTGTACATTGATAGTATGTCAATTTAAATTCCAAAATATTTCTCATGTCATATTTTAATTACAATAAAAATCTTTTCTAAAATTAATTAGGTGATTGGTTTTTGAATGCGTTTCATCCGGTCAAAAATTTTGGAAATTATATAAATATAATGCAAAATCCATCAGTCTCATCTCATAACATTTATATATTTTTAAATTGAATTATTAAAATCAAATTTTGATTGCTAATAAACTAAAATAAATTAGCAAAAATATCTGCTTCATTTAAAAAGCTATTAATTATTAGCGCAACATTTAAACAATCGAAAATATTTTTAACAATAGACCCATGAAATTTATTATAAATTTTTATCAGTAAAGATTAACATAGCTGTAACATAATCCTGTAAATCGGTATTAACAAAAATTCTTCTGATTGCAATTGCATATTATAGCAAGTAGATTACAAAATGTGAAACCATGCCTTAATATGCTCTCGCCAATTCTTTTTCGAAAAATTTTGAATAGTTTTTATAAATTCCATTTAAAAAATATCTTTTCAGAGGTTTATAATATTCCAAAATTCTATCAATGGTGGGTATTAGTGATAATCATGGATTAGGAACATGTACTAACTCACATCATCCCTATCATACGTAGTATTTGTGCTTGAAACTAGAAATTATTTAATGATGCTGTCTTCATAATTCTAAAATATTAAGGAATTATAATGCTATGTCTTAAATAACATAATGAATTGCTCCTACTTAAAAGGAACTATAATAAATAAAGACAATTATTTTATAGAAAATAAGTCCAATAAAATTTATTTTTATGATATTAAATGAATATAATGATAATTTAATTAAGAGAAAAGAGATTCAACTTCAAGAAAATATAGTTCACCAGATATAATGTTCCTATCCTAATTCCTTAAAATTAAATAACATAAATATATTAATCATTAAGTTCATTAGTTAAGCCTGATCATCACTGGCAAAAGTAATATCTTGATTGCGCCAATATTTTTGTCTGATGAGTAATTAATTCATCAATCAGTTTTGCAATTCACTTACTTAAACCGAGTTTAAAGCTAAACAAAAACTAACGGTACTCATTAGACTGACATTATCGAATTTTGAATTGCCATCTAAAAGTCAATTATATCATAGTGAATTAAAGACATTCCCCAATTTCAAAATATTTTTGAATTTTATGATTTTACGAGTTTTATATATATTTTCATTATAAAAAACATTATGGAGACTATGCCCCTCCTTTTTGTCGGCCTTCGTTGGAATAGAAAGGAAGCTAATTCAGAGACTTAAAAAATAACATATTTTTAAATAGTTAAAATATAAAAAACATTAAAGTGTTAATTTTTTTTTCAAATATCTGAGCATAATTTAGGTTATTTTCTCCGTGAAGCCCTCATCAGGCTAAAAATGTGCCCTGAGGCAATGAAAAAAAGTATAATTGCATATCTTTTTATAATTGCAACATTTATCATTATCATTAAAAAATTCTACCCATTTTTCTTTTACTTTCATTTTTTTCACCGTTTTGAGATATGTTGACTTAGATATTTAACAACATTATTAATATTAGAAATAAAACAATTACAGAATTACAAGTTTCATAAATAGGCCTAATCAAGATAAGGGCAAGCTCGCCACCCTCTCTTATCATTTCTACATTTTATCATGAATAATATCCTTAGATAACAAAATGTAACATAACTAGTATTGTTAAACGGCAACTCAATATTTTAGCAAGAAAAATATTGCTTAAGCCTCGAGATTTTGATAATATATATTTAAACCTTTATTCCTTCCATGAGCAATTTCTTCAGGCTTGCGTAATATTTTTCTGGGTGAAATATTGAGTTACCCATTTATAAAAAGCGACTTAAAACGAGTCGTTTGATAACACTAGTCATAACCCTCCCTTTAGGAAAGAATGGAGATGCTGTGGCCTAGTGGACAAATGTTTTCTAGTAGCCTCATTTTATGAGGCCTTCATCCCGACCCATTTGAGTGACCTCGGTTCGAATTTACCCTGCCGGTCTGGACCCCTTTAATGGCCTGTTCATACTATACATGTTTTTATTATTTATATTTTTTTTCAAAAATGTCTAAATAATGGGTTATCCACAATATACCACATTTTTATTTAAAAAAAACTCATACGAAATGATTAACACATGTTTTTTTTGCATAAATAAAGTCATACTAATTGAACACATTAGAACATACTTATCGCAATTGCAGAAAAGAAAATATATATTACAATTACACAATTAAATATTATTAATTGCGCATTTAAAATTATTACTTACTGCACTATAAAATGCACATGCATTACATTATATACACCGAATATAAAACTTATTGTTTGCTTATAAAATCATAAATTTTCCAATAGTTTCCTAAATAGAATTTAAATATTGAATTTAACAAATATTCTTTAGGCTAATAAATATCGCATTAACTCCCAACTTTGTCCCAAATATCACATATTCAAGTACTATTTGTATCAACAATTCTTTTCTTTACGGGCATCAAAAAAATGTCTCAAATTAATCGTGTCATATATTTGCCCTCAGCCTATTTTCATAATTTTAAATTTGCTAGATAAAATTAGTTCATTGTCCCTATCACAAATTATATCAATATATTTGTAAATATAGACAATTGAGTAGCAATTTGATCATGAATATATTTTCTGAGAAGCTATCTTCAAAGCAAGAAATACCTTAGATATTCATTTTATCAAAATTTTTAGGATCACTATAAAACCCTTTTTCCCACCCCTCCCTTTTAGACCTATTCGAGTTTTCAGAATTTCATTTTGTTACCAAGTGTTATCTAGCAGCTTTAAATTAGGAATTTTTTTTAAATATAATTTTTTGTTTTTATATTCATTTGTGTTAAAATATATTGACAAGGGGGGAAAGTCTTGCCCTGAGAATTGTTATGGTATCTCTAATAGTTGGTATTGCGGGGAATTAACCAGTAGAATGGGTATTAGTCTGTGTAGAATATTGACTCTGAATGCAGTAGTTAAAAAGAATATTTGAATGAATTATATAATGTCATTTATTATGTTATCAAAACTAAAATTATCATATGTCTTTTTATTTAGATATAAAACTTCAAACTTTTTAATCTTTTCGCGATATTTATATATAATTCTATATTTAATTCCCAGCCTCCATTAAAACTTTTTGTTAAAAGTTATAAAGATTCAGTAAATACAAGTAATAATAAAAAGAAAAAGTGTTATAATAATACGTAAATTGATTAAGTAAGCACAATTTGTTATTAATCTGCAACAAAATATAATCATTCTCCTACATTGGAAGACCAGAAACTCAAACAAGTAAATAAATCAATTTTAAAAAATTCTTTATAAATATAAAATCTTGTAATTATATAACATTAATATAGCTACTATTGATTGGAAAATAAAGATTATCAAGTATTTTTAGATTTACTTTGAGCCACCTAACGATGAGAATGTAAGGAGTGATTGTAGAAATGAAGGTGAAGGTTGCACTAAAAAATAATTTTCATGGTGTGGGAAATTAGAATATCAGGTAGCTACGGAAATTATATATTAATGAAATTTTGTGAAATCATCAAAAACAAATAAAACTAAAACAATTATAAACTAGTGATCACGTGACTTATTTCCTTAATTTTCCCAAATTCTCTCTTTCTTCGATAAAAAATTACAAATTTATCTTATCCAATAGTTTATTTTGAATTTTTTTTTAACCATCAATCATAACTTTGCAAAATATTTTTATTTTATTGAAATACTGAAAGAAGACAGAGTGGATGTCTAAATCTTCAACTATTATACCAGATAGTTATATCGATATGCATTATGTAAAAATAATGATAATTGGGGAGGCATATAAAAAATTTGAAATGAATCTTGCATGAATTATATCATATTAAACGTTATAAATAAAATTTACATTTTAGGTTTTATCTCGGGGTTCCGATGAACAAACAACAATTGCATATCTTATATGATATATTTGGGCACTCTAAGTTCCAACAATATTAATATAGTTAAGTTCTTTAATCACTTCCTGACACCTGTGTATGGAGGAAATTAATAATAAAAATTTTCTAAGCATTTATAAATTTTATTTAAAATTTATAATATTTTTATCTGGTATCGGTTTCATCGGAAGGTATTTTGTCCGGGGTTATTTGGTCCATGTCGTGTGTTTTATTCGGGTCTTTATGCCATGGGCACTTCTGACATCTTACCTATTTTCAAATAACTATTTAGAGATCCAAAATAAATACATTTTTTTAAAGTTTGGAGTCGTAAAATAATAAAAAAATCTCATATAATAGATCTGATAAGAAAAGCATTTTTTTAAAGATCTGATCCAAAATAAAAGGTCTTTGAAGTATAAAGGGTATACAATATTTTTAAAAAATTGGGAAATTTATGAATATTAAAGAACAATAATATATTTCGGTTGTTATTCTCTTAAAATATAAATTTTGAGTTAAAATAAAATTTTTTTGCCGTCTATAATCCCAGTACATTTGGATCCAAATTAACATTTAAAATCATGGTCCTATTCCGAAAAACATGTCTCTCCCACATGGCTTAATATTTTAATTATTTTCTGTCGCGATTAAGATCCGAATTGCTTGCGCTATGTCGAATTTGTAATTAAAATAAACATATAATACAAGCCATTCTTTTAATGATAAATGAAGCAGAGACCTTATGGACCGAACCGGCTAGCTAAAGACTATGAACCGCCCATGGGCTGGGCATGGGCCTAATATTATATTTTTAGCTGGTCTGGACCTGGGCCTGTGGTTCAAAAATAATTTTTTTTTAAATTTAGCTTATTTAAAACAGTTGCTAACTTAAAAAAAAAATATTATAAATTTTCTCTTTTAATTAATAAATTTTTGGTTATTACTACAAAACATGATTGCCCAAATACACTGAAATTATTTTTTATTTTAATTATACACATTAAATTTAATTTTTGGATGTGTGATTAGGTCGAACTTGAAAAGGTTATTTGATTTATTATGTGTTCGAGAACCTTTTTTTAATATTAAATAGAACGGGCCTTTTAAAAAAATTAAAAGTAAAAAAATCACTAAAGAGCAAAATTCTAATTATTCATTTACCTCCATGAATGACCTATTAAGTATTCCTAATTTATGTATACATAATGATAATTTCGATATTAATTACTGAATTAAACTGCTCGCCCTAAAAATTTATAACTTGGGGATTCACGACTTAAGGTGGTAGTGTAAAGTAGAAATATACAATATTTGCAGATTCAGAGCAATTAGTAACGAAAAAAGAAGGGATTTTAATTTATCAAATATTTGATAATTATTTCAATTTTCAAGTTTAACGACTCGAGTTCCGAATTAAAAAAAAATTACTATAAATATAAAATTATCAAACTTATATTAATATTTTATAAAAAAAACGTTATTTATTTATAATAAATGATTCCGATTTGTGAGGTTTTCGACGCTTTCACTGTAATTTTACCCTCATACCATTGAAGAGAAACTTGTGATATATCATTTATAGCAATATCGCACGTATAAGATGGGTAAAACGCAATATCAGGCACCCAAATTAGGCTCCTACTCTTATGAGACACTTTATACGCACAGATGCAATTATCATTTTCCATCAGTTTAATCGTGGTGAATCCGTTAGTTCTAACGCTAAAATAAGATGATAGCATGAATCCAACGATAAATAATTGTGGACACAATTCAAGAGCCTGTAGAGAATTATTAGAATCCGGTGTAGTTATTATGCTATAATAAGATTTAGGGGTTGGGCGCGGTATTTTATCATATAAATCTAGTGAGGCAAATCTTTTCAATACTAAATCGGTTATCTCGGATTCACACAATATATTCCTCTTCTTAATAATATTTATGATGTCTGTCACGGTAAAACTTTCTAAGTAGGACATTGGCTCGAATCTATTCTTCTTAATTACGCTCATTATATTCTCGTTGGTGCCTAAAATTCCTTCTTTTTCGCATTCTTTTTTCCCCCATTTTAGAAGAAATTCGAAAATCAACGCCTTGGGCTCCAAATTATTCGTGTTTATGTAGCTAACGAAATCGTAAATTAATTCAAACGGAGCATTCATAAACATTTCGGAAGCGAGAACAGACCTGGTAATGCCTTGCATGTCCTAATAGTAAATTAGTTTAAAAAAAAAAATAAATTACCTTACGACAATCCGCTTTGCTAATTTCTGGGTGTAGCGCAGTCGACAAATATAGAACGAGCGGAAAATTATTCTTAAACCTTTTCCCATATTGACAATTAATTTTTTCCGCACATTTATCGACTAATTCTTTCAGCAAGAATTTCTTGGCCCCATTTAAGAGTTCCACGAAAATATTGGCTTCGACGTTTTCGAGGGAAGCATCATCTAAGTATATAAAACTTTAAAAAAGCGAGTAATATGGGCAAAAATATTTTTAAAAATTTATCGAACCTCAATATTATGGGGAAGGTTTCAGCACTTAAATCCAATATTTCTAAGCATTTACCCTCGTAGGGATTGTTCCCGTAGAAGAAGGTGTAGAAATATTCGTTTTTGAGAGCAAGTATGAGTTTATGCCCGTAGAATTTCTTATCATCTACCTTTTAATTAATTTTTTAATATATTTTGTTTCACTAACGCATAATAATACCTAGACTGGCGATGCATTCATTAAGAGTGTACATCGAAGAAAACAGCTGGGAACGCCATTTTGATTATCCATATCCATTATTAAAATTTTTGAACGAGGACGCAAACTTTATTAAAGAAATAGCTTGATCATAGAGAGATAAGGAAACAAGTTATCAATTTATGTGTAGTTTTGAACATGAGAATAATTACGGTCATCATAATGGCGAGTTAAGCTGATTTACATGACGCTTATAAATGCATCGTCAGTCTAGGTATTATTATATGTCATTTGATTAATTTATTTAGTATATATATAATATTTAAGATGAATCATTTTTCCAAGACGTAGAGGAAATGTCTATTCTCCGCTTTTAGAAACCGTACAATATGTTATTGATGGTTTGGTAGTTCAAAGGAATGAATAAGCGACTTAATCGTAAATATAATTTTAAGCTAGTTACACCCTCTCCTCCCGTCCCTTATTTTCAGAAAATAAATACGATATGTTAATATCATAAAAATTAATTTTTTTTTAAAGCCCATTTTAAAAGAAATTTTCAAAATGCATGCCTAAAATTTAAAATAAAAGTTATCTAAAAGTCTGCAAACATCATTGATGTATTGTTGTCTGTTGTTAATTAGCTAAGAACAACGGCCCTTGAGCGGGAACCAATCAACTGTTTGATAAAATTTGCATGGGTATCCAAGGATCTGAAGCAATTAGTGTTGTTAAATGGTTCGATTAGGATTAATTTTTTCATAAAGGGCCTGATTAAAATTTTAGACAAGATATGTAAGCAGGATGATTTTGCTCATTTTGGCTAAATCACGATATTTTGGCTAAAATATAAATCAGCTGTTTTTAAAAATATCGGCCCAAATAGGAAAACCCACACTAGAAGCAATTTCTTCAAGTAAAAAAATATTGCCACTCTCATGATGGTGGTTACTTTTATCGAAAATAATTTTTTAATTTTTACAAAAAATAATATATTTTTCGCGTTTTAATTTTAATTTACCTCATAAATATCTGAAAAAAAATAATCTCGTCACATTATTATTTATCAAATTATTTTTTAAATACAAATACATTGCCAAATTTAAGGACAGGGGATCCAGATCAGGGTTGCCATGTCTCCCCCCATCAGTGGGAGTCTCCCACAATTTTTTAGTTTACCCACATACATCTCACTCCCACAAAACTCCCACAATTAGAAATCTCCCACAAAAAGCTCCCACAATTTTTTAATATCTCCCACAATTCTTTTTTTAGCATTTTAATGTTTTTAAATATTTAACGACTCCAAAATAGTGCTAACTTTACTTGTGGTAGAACAAAAATGAGCAATGCTATCACAAATGTGTTAGGACCTGAATCCAAGAGGTCAATTCTAGACGAATTGAAAGAAGGACATCCATATGCTATTTTAACAGATGCATCAAATAAGGGAAATATTAAAACATTTCCCCTGATCCTTCGCTATTTCAACAAGAATAAGGGCATTTCTATAAAACTATTGAAATTTTTTTCATCCGATAGTGAAAAATCCAACGATATAGCTAACCACATAATGGTAAATATAGCTGATTCAGGGTTATCAATGAGTTGCATGTCAGCTTTCTGCGCTGATAATGCCTCTGTTAATTTTGGTAAAAATCAAAGTGTATTTACCGAATTGAGGCAGCACAATAATGAATTAATACCAATTGGCTGTATATGCCATATACTGCATAATTCTTGCAAGAAGGCAATGAATGTACTATCTGTAGATGTCGAAGTAATTGTGATCAGTGACCCCTACACTTTTTGAGGGATAGAAGCAGAATACCCCCCTAAAGTACCCCCCCCCCCCATTGTAAATTATTTTTTGACACCAATAAATTTCAAAAATAATTTTTATTGCATCAATATTTATTATAATATAAATATAATGTAAAAAATATATGCTTTAAAAATAATATTTTTAAATTAATAATTTAGATAAATTAGGGGAAGAGAAAGCAAAAGAATTTATAATTTCATCAATATTTAATTGTTTAAATAAATTATTTTCCATTGATAAAATGGTTAAATTATTAAGAAATGGATCTTTCATGACACTACGAAGTCTTGTTTTAATTAGTTTAATTTTACTCATGACCCTTTCGGCAGTACATGATGTAGTAAGAATAGTTAATAAATATTTATATAAAATTGTTAAATTTGGGAAAGCAGAAAAATTTATAAGCAGACGATAAGGTAAAATAAATGAATAGTTTCTCCAGTCTTAATCATTCATCTCAAAATTATTATCATCATCAGAAGAAGCTATATAATGTATTAGTAAAAATATTTTAATTAAATAAATTTACAATTCTCAGAATCTGACAAATCTTCTTTAACCTCTAGGTCACGAGTAATAATTACGTCCCCCGTTTTAGCCATTTTATAAATATTTCTAAACATCAACATTTCCTCAAAAACTTGACTTGTATTTAATTGATAAAATTCACAGATATCCTTGATATCATCTTTAACAATTGCCTTTTCCGCCATTCCCTTTGGGGTAAAAAATGATGTTTGACTCAAAAATTTTATCGATTCATCGTTAAATCTTTCACTAAACTGCATAATAATTAAATCAAGTGCAGCATAAAACACACTGATTTTAAAGCTAAAATAAAATATTATATTTAATGATGAAAGTATATATATACCTCTCCTTTTTGGATTGTAATGTTTGAAGTCTTGAACTTTCAAAATCAAAAGGTAAATTTCTCTTCTTCATAAAATCTTGGGCCTTTGAAAAGACATCCAAAAATTCAGTGTTATTATCTATTTTAGGATTATAAAATAATAAAAGATAATAATTTAAATTATACTTCTCATATTAATCAGGCAATCTTTTGCCAATTGAATTTGATTTATTGCAAACCCTATATCCTTCGAAATGGTTTGCAATTTTGTACAAGCCAAGCTAGTTATCAACAATATTTTATCCAAAACACATAGTGATAAAATAAAATCAAATTTTTCTATTCTATAGACTATAGCACTAGCCATAGTGGAAGTGGCAGGATCTTCTGAATCCTTTAAATTTGCCAAAGCTGCCCTCAAAGCATCATAAAGTAGGAAAAAATTTACAATCGCCTTATATGATGTTAGCCAGCTTCTATAAATATAAAATAAACATTAAATATCGAAACAATTAAGATAATATTACCGAGTGGTATTCTTGATGCGTAAAAATCTATGTGATTTTGTCAGTAAATCACTCTGACATGTTTTGAGCACTTCATATCTTTTAACACCATTAAAATATACGTAAATTTCGTCTAATATTCCCAAGACATTTGGCAGCTCTTTTACTGATTGGCATAATTGAACAACTATTAAATTTAATCGATGACAATAGCACCAAATAAAAGCTGCCTTTGGCGCCTCCGCTCTAATCAAAGCCTGCACTCCATTAATTCTTCCACTCATGTTTGAGGCGCCATCATGGCTTTGCCCCACTAGGAATTCGAGGGGTAGATTCATGGAGCCAGGCTTGGATATTATATTCTCTTTAATATCGAGGCCCGTTGTATTTCCCGTACAATAAATGTCTATCAGCCTTTCAACGGGCTTAGGTGTCTCGTATTTTCAACATATCTCACTATCAAAGCTATTGCTTCTGATTTCGATACATCATATGTGCCATCAACTATAATTGAATAGCACCTGTTGAATTCAATCTCCTTTTGAATTTTTTTATAACCATATTTTTCATGGTTTCAATAAGAATATTTATGTTATTATATGATAACAGATTTGAATATAATTTAGATTTTAATCCCTTAATTTTTTTCTCACTTCTTATTTAATAAAAAAAATTATTTTGCTATTTGTCCAATTTTGAGAAATATTCTTAAAAGCCACTATTTCAAAGCTTTTCTTTATATCGTGAAAATTAAGCCCACCATGTCTTTTTCTAATATGATCTGTCCATTTATCATCTCTTATTTATGATATGTACAATTTTTAATCAAGCATTTATATTTTTTTTGGTTAATATTTTTGGGCATATTTTGACAATGATCTAAAAATTATAAATGATTATATATAAGATTTAATATTTAAATTTTTACTATTCCCTTTGATAAAATTTTAATTTTGCGCCAAATCTTGAAAGTGGAAAAATAATTTTATGATAAGAAATATCGGATAACAAACTAATTTGCTAAACATCGACCATAAAAATTTTTAAAATAAAAAATTAAAAAATTTTTTTTAAAATTTTAAAATAAAAAATAAAAATTTTAAAAAAAAAAAGTACCCCCATAGAAATTTATAGAAGCAGTTGCTTCGGACCCCCCCCCCCCCCCGTTGTAGGGGTCACTGATTGTGATGAAATGTTTTAATGGATTTAGTTCATCAATTAAAAAAGTCACTGAATTAAAAGAATTGGTGGAGTGGTTTGATTTGGAATGGTGAGAGTTGTTGCGATATGTACCTATCAGGTGGTTATCATTAATACCTGCCATCGAGAGAATTTTAAAATTTTACGAACCCTTAAAGAAATACTTCTTAAATAAAGATTTTAAAAGCTGTCATAAAATTTAGAAAAATTTTTTCGAGGATAAAATGTCAGAAGCATATTTGGGATTAGTTTCACATGTAGGAAATCTACTTCATGTAGTTAATATTCAGTTGCAATCAGAATTATTGATAAAGATTCACAAAATCATGCTACAGCTCTGTTCATCTCTACAGTTAAAAATAGATAATAAATTTTATGGCGCTATTGCTAAAAATATCATATTAAAATGTTCAAATATTACTATAATTAACGTATTTTTAAATGAAGCAAATATTTTTATTAAGACAATTTTGGAATATTTACAATCAAGATTTGATTTTAATAACTCTATTTACAAGTGTGTAAATATTATGACCTTGGAACAGAAACCATCATTTGATGGTTTTTGTAATTTAATAAATATATTAAAATTACCGATAGACATTGAAGCCTTGTTTGAAGAGATTGTAATTTTTCCCATTTTTTATGATTCGCCAGAATACTTAAAGTTAGATGGTCTAAAAGCAGAGTGGGTGGAATTTTTTAGTAATAACGATAAATCCCCATGCTTGGAAAAAATTTACGAGTATGTTTTCTCCTTACCTCATTCTAATGCCTCATCGGAGCGCATTTTTAGCCTGATGAGGACTGCCTGGAGAAAGGAGAGAATAGAATTGCTTTAACAACATTAGAGGCCGAGTTAATGGTTAAACAAAATTATAAAATGTCATGCCAGGAATTTTATATATATCTTAATAACGACGGTAAACGCATTATTTAAATCTCAAATAAAATATAATTAACTATAACTATTTGACTTTCTATATTTTATAAAATCTTATTTATACATTTGCATAAAATCAAATAAATTTATTTTTTACATTGTAAAATTAATATTTTGAATATTTTGGCAAATCATAAAAATAAAGAAGCATTACAATCTCCTCAAACATGACATCATATTAAATCTTATTAATAATTACGATAATAGTAATAATATTCTTACTTTGGTATTTCTGCAGCATAATTTAGTGAACCTTTATTAAATTATATTCTTCTGATTGCAACTGCATATTAACAGCATATAGTAGATTTCCTATATGTAAAATTTCTAAATATACTTCTGCCATTTATTTTTGAAAATTTTTTTCAAAATATTAGGACAGCTTTTATAATCTATTTATTTTTTAAAGGTTTGTAAAATTTTAAAATTCTACGATGGCGCGTATTAGGAGGAACCTGTCAACCAACATTAAGCTGACTCAATTCTGTAAATACACTCTGGTTTTTGCCAAATTCACTGAGGAATTATCAGATCAGAAAGCTGCCATGCAATTCATTGGTAATGCCAAATCTGCCATATTTACCATTATATATGGTTAGCTATGTCTTTGGATATTTCATATCTGGAGAAAAATTTATTAATAGTTTTATTGAAATGACATTAAATTTTTGAAATAGGGGAGGATCAAGGGAAATGTTATGATATTTCCTTATTAGATGCATCTCTTAGAATTGCATATGTTTGCACATCTTTCAAATCGTCAAGAATTGACCTTCTGGATTTATATCCTAAAACATTGATGATAGCCTTGCTCATTTGTGTTCTACAAAGTAACTTTTCATTTATATTAGTCGTTAAATATTATGGAGAAAGATTCTACCAACATTGTGATGTTAAGTAGCTCTCTGAATGTTGTACTGCATGATAGGTATTTACCATTTCCTCAACTGTAGTTGCATCTCTATTATTTCTTATTTTTGAAGAATATTTTTCTTTTGCAATAGATGTTGATAGACTGCCCTGTACTGATTTATGCTTTGAAGATTTTTGATGCCTCAAAATATCATATTCCCTTCCCACATTGTATTAACTAAATACCGTAGAACAACTTCCCCGCACTGATTATAATTATTTTTTACATTGTAAATTTAAAATTGTTTGTTTTTTTTATAAAATCTTATTTATACATTAGCATAAAATATATTTTTTTACATTGTAAAATTACAATTTTTTTATAAAATTTTATCTTGTTTACATTCTTTTGTATTTAAAAAAGATCGTTGGTTATTAATTATAAACAAAATTAATATATTATAATAAATCAATGTTATTTTAATAATAAAGATAGTATTTAAGAAATTTTGTGTTCTACTATAATTACCTATTTTGAAAAATAGTTACGTATTTTATTTTGGAAAATAGTTACCTATTTTATTTTGAAAAAGAGTTGGATATTTTATTTTGATCAATAGTTGGCTATTTTAATTTGAAAAATAGTTGGCTATTTTATTTTAAATAGTTGGCTATTTTATTTTGAAAAATAGTTATCTATTTTATTTTGAAAAATAGTTGGCTATTTTATTTTGAAAATAGTTATCTATTTTATTTTGAAAAATAGTTAGCTATTTTATTTTGAAAAATAGTTATCTATTTTATTTTGAAAAATAGTTGGCTATTTTATTTTGAAAATAGTTATCTATTTTATTTTGAAAAATAGTTGGCTATTTTATTTTGAAAAATAGTTGGCTATTTTATTTTAAATAGTTGGCTATTTTATTTTAAATAGTTGGCTATTTTATTTTGAAAAATAATTACCTATTTTATTTTGGAAAATAGATTCGAGCCCGCAAAAAAATTTGTTTAGCTATTTTTATATTTCTCCCACAATTTTTATATTACTCCCACAAAATACCGAATTTCTCCCACAATATGAAAATTTTGACCTGCCACATCTGATCCAGATAGATAAGGAATTCCGATATTTTTCTCGGTTATGCGGTTACATGCATATATTCATTATTTTTTAAATCTATTTTCATTCTTAAACCTCCCTTTCCTTTCAATTTCAAACAATGCCAGAAATGTTGACCAAGATAAATTGTATAAATGTTTTAGTTTAATAAATCATTGCGTATCATCACAAAAAATGGAAGAGACGATAAATGGAATGACCATTTTAAGAAAATAAATACACGAAAGTTCTTAATTTCAAAGAGATAAATAAAAAATTATGAAGTCGAGGTATCCAAAAATATTTACTCAGATTTGGAGTGATACAAAGATATATTTTATTTTCATTAAATATTTGTCTACTATATCTGCAAAATCAGGATTCAGGCCTATTTTTAAAAAATTTTAAAATTCGGGCTGCGAGCTTAAATTCTTAAATATGTAATTTTAAAAAAAATATATATGTTTTATGCAGGCTCAGACTCATTTTCCTTATTCTGAATCTTGGCATCTCGATCATTTTCATTCTTCCACCAAATTAACTACATTTTCTCCTTTCACATTACAATATTATGAAGTGCGTTGGCGCTAGGCTTGTTTTGAGCCCATTTTTGAAAACGGTAA